TTATGTGTTGTATTTCTGTAACTCTCTTTATGTTTAATGAAATCTCAAGACACTCTTTTCCTCTTTCCGCTGATTAAGGAGCTTCTTTACGAGTTCCTTTAATCAAGAAAGGGGTTTTTAACGAGGCCTTCAATTCTTATAAAAAAAAACCCTTCATACTTCTCAGCCTCCATAGGGAGGCCAATAGGTAGCGGAAGGGGGAAAAGAGTACCTCAAATTTATTCAAGATTCAAACAAAGATAGAGTTCAACCAAGCATCATAAAACACAGCCCAACAATAAACCACCCAGAAAACAGGACAACAACCCTGCAGACAACCCCATTAAACCAAAACTAAAACAGCTATCCAATTCCTAATTTGGCTAATTCATCCGCCCTAGAGTTTGCACACCAACTAATATGGCGAAGAATGACAGCGCAATCCTTCACAACCGCTTCGATTTCCCGGGCGAGGAGAAGAAAGAGGAAAATATAGTTTCAGCACATAATAAGAAGGTTATTTTAATTAAACTTATGGATAAATAGGTTAGTATTTTTATTAGTTTTTTTGTATTTTCTGGTCTATACTCTAAAATTGTATTGTACATATTTATGAAAAAATTCAACCCAGTGTATATATACTGTTAAACTAGATTAAAAATGGTAATAAATGGGCATGTTCTGTGTAGATAAATGTACTAGTACCATGATTTTCCAGCTAATATTATCTGTTTTAGCTATTGTTCTTTAAGTTGGGTGCAAAGTTTGAATATTCATGCATATATGTCATGTGAAAATTATTCTGTAATGAGTTTGTTCTTTAATAAACATCTCTTTTTCTGTATAATTTTTTTGTTTAGATAGTAAAGGCATGGTTGGTTGGTGATCATAAAAAAGTTTCAGATTTTCTAAACTAAGTACAGAAAAATATTTCCTCTATGCATCCGATGATCGGAATGTAAAAGCATGTTTGCAATCATTCTACGTTTCTTAGTAATAACTTGAGAACTACATTTCCATGAAGATGGAGGTGAAGTTATTTCTGAGTAAATATTTATGGTGGCCATACTTCAAAAACCTTGGAAATATGTTGATTTTTTCTTTTTGAAAATTTCAATCATGTCCTTTTTTTATTATAGATTTGTACGCACTCATAAAATACTGCTTAGTGGCAGGTAATTTTGATCAAACTTTTGCCGTGTTTAGGTGACAATGCCCAGAGATATTTTACATCTTGGTGGAGTGGAACATAGGGAGTTACATAATGCCTATGGATATTACTTCCACATGGCAACAGCTGATGGCCTTGTAAAGCGAGGAGATGGTAAGGACAGACCCTTTGTTTTGTCCAGAGCATTCTTTGCTGGAAGTCAAAGGTATGGAGCAGTCTGGACTGGTGATAATTCTGCAGATTGGGGTCACCTCAGGGTTTCAGTCCCGATGATTTTGAGTCTTGGTCTTACTGGAATGTCATTCTCTGGTATGCATGCCGTTACAAGAAAAAGAAGTTAAAAGCAGTGTACCTTTCCCCTTTTTGATTCTAGATAAACTTTTACAGGTGCTGATATTGGTGGTTTTTTCGGCAATCCCGAGCCCGAGTTATTAGTGCGTTGGTATCAACTTGGTGCTTACTATCCCTTCTTTAGAGGTCATGCCCATCATGATACAAAAAGACGAGAGCCTTGGGTGTTCGGGTATGATATCTTTAACATCCATGTAATTCTACTCTCTGCATCTTGAAAGATTAGCATTCCCTTTGAGAACTTTCATTTATATATTAGATCATTAACATGTATAACCACAATCACATGTGAAGCTCTTTTCTTCACCAAAGTTACATTAATCTCACTTAGTAGCATTCTGATGTTCTCATTTTCATCTGTATCTCATTCCGTACAGCTTAAGAGTTCCTGATTTCCCCCCATATTGTATTGCATTGAAAAGTAAGCTCTATATGCCTGTTGTTTGTCTCCAGAGAGAGCATGTGAATAGAATTCTGATCGGCAGCATTACATTGTATTTTGGGGCCCATGATCCCTTTGAGCCTCTGACAAATATGCAACTGCTTTAATTGTTTTTAAAGATATTCTTGGAAGAAGTGTTTTGGTTGATCCCTGAAAAGACCCTTTTACTTTTGTCGAAAGGCTTTGATGGAAAATAATTTTCTGAACTACTTTGATTAATGTTCAAAATTCTAGTTCCATGCTGGTTCTACAATGGCTCATTTCTTAAATATGTTCCTTCATTTTACTTATAAGAAAATCCAAGATATTTTATTATTGAATTAATTGCACATGAGGTCGCCAAATTATGACTATTCTAAATTGGTCCATAAACTTTAAAACATTCTATCAGCCCCCAAACTCCCCATTCAAAATTAATCCCTAAACTTCAAAAGATTCTTATCAGTCTTCAAACTATCAGGATCATTCCATTTGATCATTCCGTTAACATGTACTGAGTTAACGACATGTTAACGGAAGGATCAAAATGGAATGATATTGATAGTTTGAGGATTGATGTAACATTTTAAAGTTTAGTGACTGATTTAGAGTGGAGTCATAGTTTGAGGACTGATATAGAATGGGGTCATAGTTTGGGGATATCCTGTGCAATTATCTCTTTATTATTTTTCTTCCAAGTTTCATTTCTTTGTGTTAACTTGAAAGTACAAGATGGTTTTGACTGTTGAGACATGCATGGTTTGAGTTGAAGGTTCTTCGAGGGCAGCTGCATTGGCTATATGAAGAGGATATGAACAAAATTGAATTTTGGTCAAGGATTTTACATAATGCTCGTATGGTTGTGATAAAATATATGGCCGTAGAGCTGAATAAAGAATTGTGATTATGAAGGCAAGCCTAGCCTCAACCACTGAATGTCTCTATGAGATTACTTGATTTATTCTGAGGTTATGCGTTGACTAGTATATTCCGACCAAAAATACCTTCGTATAGGTGGAGAGGCCCCTTTATTTATGGATTCATGATATAACCCACTCTTAATTGATATGTTTTTTGTTCTCCCATCACACCCCCCTCACAGCTAAGGCCTATAAATTATCGCATGGCGTGTACTTTTTGTATGGGTGGGTTTAATTCAGCACCACACCAATAAGCTTAGCTATCATTCCTTTATTGCATCATGAAGGTTTAAAATGTGTTAGTATTTTAGACTTAATTGCTTTTTCAGCAACTAATTTTTTGGTTTACAGCTGCTAATCAGGATACTACTTTTCCCCCCTATGAATTTGTGGTTGTATGGATTAAAATGTATTTGGGTGTGATGTTATAATGGGAAGGTTTAAAAAATAAAAAGTTTGATATCGTTTTTATACAATATCTCTATTTTTATTATGTACTTTTCTGATCTTCAAAATAACGAGGTTTATCTTTGTTTCAGTGAACGAAATACTGTGCTTATGAGAGATGCCATCCGTATTCGTTACACCTTGCTTCCATACTTTTACACATTATTCAGAGAAGCAAACGTTTCTGGTGTTCCTGTTGTACGTCCATTATGGATGGAGTTCCCATCTGATGAAGCAGCTTTCAGCAATGATGCTGCTTTCATGGTTGGGAACAGTCTTTTGGTTCAAGGGATCTATGAGACTGTACCACTCTTAACCAGATCTTCTGTCTTTTCTGTTCTTATTTTCTCCGTTGCTTTTCTTATCCTCATAGCCTGTGAATAATTGAAATCTCATATATTTTCTTTTACATAGAGGGCTAAACATGCATCAGTATATTTGCCCGGGAAGGAATCATGGTATGATCTCAGAACAGGAAATGCGTACAAGGGAGGAAAGACCCATAAGCTTGAAGTTTCTGAAGAGAGCATTCCTGCTTTCCAAAGAGCCGGCACTATTGTACCAAGAAAAGACCGGTTCCGTAGAAGCTCAACACAAATGATGCACGATCCTTTTACACTGGTATGTGATCGATACTGACCGGTTCTTATGGCCTTCTCACAAGTATATCTACTTGGTGTAAAATACTGCCAGATTTATTCTCATAAATTCATCTACTAAAGAACATTAGCACCCCTTCTTGTGAGTTGCCATTGATAAGGCGTGTGCCTCTGTCATCACTCTGTCTGTTTAGGTGATTGCTCTGAACAGTTCCCAAGAAGCTGAAGGCGAACTCTATCTTGATGATGGAAAAAGCTTCGACTTCAAACAAGGGGCATACATCCATCGCCGCTTTGTGTTCTCAAGCGGGCATCTGACATCTTCGAATGCAGCATCCTCTCCCCTTGGCAACTCTAGATTTTATTCGGACTGCATTATCGAACGGATTATTCTTCTCGGATATACCCCTGGAGCAAAAACCGCTCTAATTGAACCAGGAAATAAGAAGGCTGAAATCGAACTCGGTCCCCTTCGGTTCGGGGGACATGTCGGTGCTGCTGTAACTATCCGAAAGCCTGGTGTGAGGGTCGCTGAAGATTGGAAGATAAGAATTTTGTAGGATATTCACTTGATTTGATGAATATGTAGCGTTAAGCTCTCGTTGTAGTTATTCTTGAGTTTTTAACTTTATGGTGGAGAAAACTGCGAAGCTAATGGCATTTCGTACGTCCAATTTACTGGATACTTCATAATGGGAAGATACTTTGATAAATTTTATAATCATTTTTGTAGTGTCAATTATATATAGTCCACAACATGGGGATGCCAATTCTCCTCAACCTGGTCCGACTTGATTGATGCTAGTTTTTTATTAAATGGGGCTGGGGCAGAGTATTTCTTTTAAAAGAAAATTTTAAGTTGGGTTGGAAATAAATTTAGGTGAAATCCACCATGTTTTGATATATTTATTAAAATATTTTTATTTTATAATCATATTTATATAATACATTTAAGATTTTCATTAAATGTTTTGATAATAATTATTTTTATTGATTCAGAATACTACACATCATTTATATAATATAATAAAGTACATGTAATGTACAAATGTGCGGAGTTTTCCCTTGTTGGTTTGTGAGTATAAATCTTCTACATAGTGCCTAAGATGGAAGGATGTTGAGAATTATTTTGTGGTTAAAATGATGTTCACATGTAAGATTTGAACCTTGGAGGATGATCACAGTTTGCAGGGCTCCATCCTATCACTTGTTTCTCATTGTCATATATCACCATTCTGTCTTGCATCGACACGACTGTTTAAATCACAAAGGATGAATTAAAAACCGCACCAGAACTGACTCAAATCCGTCGGACCGACGATCGAGTAACTCGGTCAAAACAATAAATCAAATATCAACCCTTACCTCCAATGACATTCAGATTTTGCAGCCCTATTTGTGTTCCATTTAGAATTCCCAGGCAAACATTTCCCTTATTCTGTCAAAACATTATGTTAAAACATTATGTTAATGTTCCAGTATGCATCAACAAAAGAGAAAGAAGAACATATATATGTCTGTGCAGTGCTCACTGATATTATAAGATAAGCTTCAGGGTGCAATTCAAACTGGGTTTTTCTTCTGCCACTGGTTGTAAAGGCCAAGGACAGTACGGTCTTGAAGTATTTCTTGGCGTCGCGCACGCTTCGGAATGGCTTTCGGCCTTTCCAACATAATGGGAGTGTCTGGTCCTCCGGAGATTCCTTTAGAGATCTTCCACTTAGTTCTTTCTTCAACTACTCGTAAAAGATTAAACTTTAGGAGAACTTCATAATTAGAATATCTTGAAGATGTTCTGAAGTTGCCCTGGAACTTACCAATGCTGTCAATGCTAAATAAGCCTGAGAATTAAGGTAAGTGTATGAGCTCCCACTGTCAAAAATCACGATGAGATTTCTAATGCCGGTCGCTTTCCCACCAAAGTGTAGCTCGGCGTTTCCCGGAGAGTAGTACTTGCTGCCATAAGTAACAAGCAGAGGATTTATTATCAGGACTTCAAAGCAATCAATTATGATCAAGTTTAACCATCAGGAACAAAAATGAAGAATTGGTTACTTAAACTCTTGTGACATTGGTGTCCAATTCACATGTGAAGAATCATAGAGGCCATCCCCGAAGAAAAGGAATCCTCCGCCTATTCCGCTTAAATAGTGGCCAACGACATTACGGACCAAGCCCTGGCTCTGAAGCTGTGACACAATGCTCGATTTTCCCCTTCCGAGGCCAAGTATTCCATCTAAGGGATGATTGGATGTGCCCGGAATTTGATCGTATCCACATCTGCACACAAGGAACCGAGACGCATAATGTTTAAGGGGGTGTTGAGAAGCAACTAATCAAAGGATGTGATCTGCTAGTGAAATTCTTCAGCTAAAAGCAATGAACAAACAGTAGGGATTGGTTAATGCAGATTCAAACAGATCATAGTTAATCAGTCATCGTATCGTTTCATGTCATTCTTTTCACTGTCCCCAAGCCCCGTAAAGTCCCGCTCTCTCCTCCGAGTTCCTTCCGCGAATAAAACACAAAAATAGTACATGACCTTTGCTAACACAACAGGGGATGGTACCATGGGAAGTTTGCAGCACTTAATGAACTTTTGACAGGAACATTAGTACTGATATTGAAGATAATTTAGGCCAAAAGCACTAACCCGAGGGCGAGACGAGGACTAACTCGGATTCCATTCGTATAGTTTAAGGAAAACATGTCTCGGACAAGGACTCTGAAGGATGAACCACCATCTGCATACTCAACCTCATAGTCACATTGGTCCGGGCTCTCACATTTGTAGTCACCAGGCGGATGCAATGCTGCACAAAGCGGGGTTTTACAATGCACAAGATCATTGGTGGGTCGGTAAAGCGGATGAGGCGCCTACAAAGACGGTAATAAAAACATTTAACGTACAATAAGACATGCACAATAAACAAAATTTAACAATCACGAAAACCAACAGATTTAACAAGGTAAAATAGATAAACTGAGAGTTTGGATAACACAACACGGAAGCAAGAAACTTAGGATCAGAATAAGCAACCAGGCTAAAATTTTGAAGTACATATACATATACATATATGTATACATATACGTATACGTATACGTATACGTATACATATACATATACATATACATATACATATACATATACATATACATATACATATACATATACATATACATATACATATACATATACATATACATATACATATACATATATGTCCGCTGTTTGTGAGTACTAAAATATGATGCGGATATGTCTGCAAGTATACACAATCGAACAAGTAATAAAGTGATAAGTAGAGTATCGTCTCCACAGGGAATTGGGGAAATCAAATAGGTTTGTCAAGGCACTTTACTTTGTCACCTAAGTAAAGTTAGTTATGTATATACAGATGAGAATGCAGTGGCAAAATGGAATGGACGTAGTGGAAATGGAGTGGTAATAGTGTGGTAGCAGATGGATATGTCGTGGCAAATTAAATTGTGATACGTGAAAACAAATGGAAATGTCAAGGCAAAATAAAAATGCAAATACTAGATTTAATAAATGTAGGACTTTAGCTTTCTCACAAGACAAACAACAATGTAAATGAGTGATGGGAGACACAAGGGAAACTTAAGTTTATTTCTCTGAATGGTGTTTCTTCTATGCTTACCCTGCCCGACAGAGTCTACTGATGTGCCCTATGCTATCTCTAGTAAGGGACTCGACAGACTAAAGATGCCCTGGCAAAACCGATTGGCGTAAGCCCAAGCAGTGATCCTATTGACTCAGCTAATAGAATATGTCTCGGCAATACCTTTTTGCGGCAGCATTAACATCTAACCTATTGTTTATACACAACTCCTTTTAGTCGAATGAAATCCTATCCTTATCTCTAAGGTGGATTAGGCCTAGTTACTATCTAGAACCCGTTGTTTATGTAGTTCCTCCCTAGCTTCTCTCGAAGACTAAAGATAAATTGCCAAGGCATTCTCTCGAACCTCATGAACCCTCCTAAGGAAAGGCTACTCTCGTAGCTCCTACAACATCAAGGCTTTAAGCATCATAAACAAAACAGAATAGAGCATGAAACAACAACCATTCATTAAAATAACAACTTAAATAACCATGCGAACTCCCACCAAATAGGATTAGTTCATGGTGGGGTTCGAAATCAACAAGCACAAAGCAAGATTCATTCGTTCCTTACAACCCAACAACAAAATATAAAAGCAAGTACTAAGGGGAGGAGAAAAAGCCTTCAACGTGCACTGCCAAATGCCTTCCTCGGCCACCAAGGACTGCTCCTAGCGAACTAGCTCCTCTCGGATGCTTAGAACGCCACTCCTTTCTACTAGTCAAGGAGAAATGCCACGGCAAGTGGGATTGACGAAGAAAGATGAGACTTTCTCTCTCTAACTTTTTAAGATCAAATGGGGCTGGAACTAAAGTCTTCTTCAATATGGCTTCATCCTCTATTTATAGGGAAAAATAAATCCTAAGCTTTGGTGTTAACCATCCTAGGAAACCCCAAAACCATGGTTGATTTTCTTGGGAGTCGGGCAGAGCTGGTTGTGTTCCAGCCTGGGTTGCTGGCTTAGACCCGGCACAATCCCACTGCAGACGCCCAAGGACAGACAGAACCTGCAAGGTCAGGCGGCGTTATTATCAAAGTCGACGGTTGCAGTGTCGGTTCCTCCAGGCAGGATCTTCGAGGCATATTTCTTGGGTAGAGCTCTCGAGGAGTCAGAGACCGCTGGCTGCAAAAATATATTATTTCACTTTGTTCGCTTTCGAAATGCCAATCAGACTCGGCATTTTCATTCTGCTCAGCAGTCTCCTTATGCCACGTCATTTTCTTTCCTATTTTCCTTGCTTTCAATACCTGCACACCATCAGATAAGTACCTTTCCCATAAAGCAGTACCGCTGTAAAAATAAAATGCCACGGCAAACTGAAATCCACCACATACAACTATATGCTCCTAAATGCATCTAAATGGTCCTAAATGGGCTCTTAGACATTCAATAACTTAAGTGAAAAGGTCCCAAAATATGACCTTTTCAAGGAGTTATCACACCCCCAAACTTAAGCTATTGCTTGTCCTCAAGCAATGGATAGTGATAAGCAAAACAAAAATACCATGACAAGTTCAGAAGCATAATAGTTATATGGGATAAAATTTCAGCCCTCAGCATTTGGCTTCAACATGCTAGACTAGTTTGAGAAATCAAGTACCGCCCCCTAGGGCAAGATTCTTTATGTGGGTGTGTGGGTGTTTGTATCCAGTCCATGCTTAACAAACCTAAAAATTTTCTACTCAAGTTTTCTCAATTTACCATGACATTTTCAAATTACTACTCCCCTTTGTTTTCTTTTATTACTTCTGCTACGAGGAGAGTCAGCCCATCACTCTACCATTCCACACTCTAGATGAAAGGGAGCATACCTTTCACCCCCGAGCTAGTCAGGTAGAGTCATCCTGTGACTACTTTCATTCACTCATATGCCAAGACATAGCGGAGTGTTCCTCTACAGATATGCCAAGGCATTTATTTATAACTTCTATTTCTTTTTTCTTTTTTTTATGTGGGGTTTTCATCATTCACAGTTTTATGCCACGACATTTAAGAATTCTCTTATAAAAAATTTCTAAGTTTCTCAAGCATGGAAAACATACACTCGTGTTCAAGGGTTTCAAAGAAGCAAGTCCTAGAGTTGGTTCTATCATCCTCAACCAGTCATGTACATTCTATCCTAGCCATCAAGAATTCTTCATCATCGGGCATCCTCAATTAATTCCATAAAACTAATTCTATATTTACTAATGTCATGGTATATTCATTTTACTAATACTATCATACAATGATGCAAGAACCCTACTTCCCCCAAACTTGAGAGAAGCATTGTCCCCAATGCTTACTAAATCTAAGAAAAATGAAAACTACATGCTATGAATGCAATGCAATGCAAGGTACCTTGGCTTCATGGTGGTGGTGCAGCAGTCGCACGGCGAGTGCGCTTGCGGAGCTTAGCGGGGCTGGAATGTTCGGAGTCAGACGCGGGTGCGACTGGAGGAGTGCTAGGACCTTCTGGGGCGGCTAGTAGCGGGGTCTCCGTACGCTGAGATGCCTTCCTAAGGCGACGTCGACTCCTTCGCAAAGGAACTTGTCCTGGCATCTCATATTGTTTCTCCTCCATTGACTCGGTGGGCTGCATGGGATGGACCTTGCAAAGAAAAATAAGCACTTAAAAGAAAATAAACTAAAACAATAGCATAATAAAATATTATTTATGCACAAGAGTAAATCTGAAATGTCACGGCATCTTCAAGATGCTTGGTCGGTATCGACATCGTCCAATAAAAGTGTAGATTTGTCACGCTCGATCGGAGCACCAGTGTAGACCAAAATGCCCCACACATATAACAATTCTGCCTTAAAAATAAATTGCCTTGGCATTTCGGGTCTTTCACATCTAAATTTTAGGACCTTTGCAGTAGTCATCTCTCCTTCAAAGTGCTCTATGCATGAAGTTGAATGGTAGTGGAATGGGATCTCTTTTCGCTCATTTTTGCTGTGGCAACTTGAAATCACTTGTGCAGCAAATTCGTTGGAGAGGTCGAGGTCATCCCTATGCCAGTAGCCACCATCGTGTATGACCTTGTTCTTTCCTAGGCCAGTCAAGTAAGGAAGCAAAACAACACTAACGAGAAATTTGACAATGTCAGCATACCACGAAATTACCACGGCAAATAATAATTTCTCATTAGTGAATTTTTTTTTAATCTCCATTTCATTCCTTAGTTCTTTCACAATTTCTAGCCTAGAAAAATGAGCAGCTAGTTGAGGTTTAGGATGAGTAAATTCAATAGGATTCAAAGGTTCAAATTTCATACCCGGTCTAGCTATGGGTGAGCTAGACTTACTCATCTCCTTTGGAATATCCTCGAGCTCCTCTTCGTCTTCTTCATCAAGATTGAAGTGATTATCACTGCATAAAAATTTGTTGCGGCAAAATTCTGCAGCTTTCTTTTGGTCATCAACTCCTACTGATGGGGTTTTTTCTTTTGCCGTGGCAAAATTTTTCTTCTCTTCATTGGTTGTATTCTTCGAACCCTCATCCTTATTTTCCAGCGAATATGAATCTTCTTGCACCTTCGGATCTTCGTGCATAATCTCATGATCGGGCTCTCCGAGTGTCTTCCCCCCAAACTTAGCATCTTTATAGATTTTGATGCCACTCCTTGAGCTGAATGTACCACAATGCTCCATGTCTTGATCCTTAGTGACTTCAGTATCACTAGGTAGACTGCCATGTGGGCAAAAATGTAATGCCGTGGCAATTTGGCAAACCTGACCCTCCAAAGCCCTCAACGACGAACTGTGGCTCTGAAGCAGAGCTTCTTGACTTTTTATAGAGGTCGCATGGTCTTGCAGCATGGTATTCATTGTTGCGATAAAATCTTGCATCGTGGTCTCCAAAGAGCTTGTGTTAGATGAATATGGTACTCCCTCGTTAGAATTATGCCATGGCATATTCATTTGAAAACCCTGGGAGTCACTGAAGTTCTGCTGCCTAGC